AAACTAAGGCTCGAAAACTTACAAAGGATCATATATTCATGAATTAAAAGCATCAACCAATCATTCAAATTCACAATTCCATCAATTCTCAAATTCTATCACTGAGCACATGATGCCCGAATTCTATATCAAATATGCACAAGAAACTCGTCAAGGTGGATAAAAGTCAATTAACTACAACTACTCAAACCCTAAGAAAGCAATAAATGTCCTAAAGCAATAAAACCTAACATGCAACTACATGATATGCCAAGATAATGCAAGATATCGTGTTATCTTCTCTCTAAAATTCTCAAATCAAAATATCACATCTCCCCCCAAACTTGAATGAAATTATATGAAGCACAAAAGGAAATAATAGAATTTCAATAAAAGAAAAATAGAGAAAACTTATAAAACATCATTGAAAAGATGAAAATTGTTGGTATAGATCATGAAGCATATGCTTTGTCATGTAAATCACTCCAAGTAATGTTCTGCAAAGAAGAAAAACAAAATATCAAACAAACAAAAAAATAAAAAAAAAATAAAGCAGTAAACATTGGGTTGTCTCTCAACAAGCGCTAAGTTTAACGTCTTCAGCCAGACGCCTGTATAATACAATCATGTCTCTTTCCAAGTCATGTAAGAAAACTTCTCGTTTTGGTATGGATGAAAATACTGCCTAATTCGTTGTTCGTTGACTACAAGGGTCTCTCCATCTCGTGCAATCAATTCCTCTTTCTCTTGTGTCACGTCATTCCTCCCTTTTTCAGCACCACTTGCACCAGACTAAACCACTCATTATCAGAAATCGTGGCATCTAACCATTTAAGTACTTTCCTAACAACTTCTTGCATAACAGGGTTCAAGTGTCGTTGGTTTTGCCTATATGATCTATAATCTTCCTCTAATTTTATTTTATACATGCAAAGTGATGGACTAATACCTTTAAGATCAGACATAGACCAACCTATAGTCAACTTATACGTACGCAACACCCTCAACAATCTATCTAATTTCTCAGAGGTTAGACAAGATGACACAATTACCGGATACGTGAAATTATCACCCAAATATGTATATGTCAGATGATCTGGCAATGGTTTGAGGTCCAAAATCGGTGCGTCGGGCTTTGAAGAACTTGATTCAGGTGAAATAAGGGTGAAAAGTACACCTGACACGACCTCCGACACGGGCCGTGCTTCATTGTTCGGGTCGTGTCGCATTCTACGCTCCAAAATTCGTATCTGGGCACCTGACACGGGCCGTGTCGCCGTCCGTGTCGCATCTGAAAAAATTGAGTTTCTCCAAGGGGCCTGACACGGCCACCTGACACGAGCGTTGCGACCGTGTCGCCGTCTGTGTCACCTCCGCAGTGTTTATTTTCAACTCCTATTTTCATAATTTTGCTCTCCGACTTCATGATATCTTCCGACATGATCACATCACCTGAATCAATAGTGTCAATAAAGTTAGTATGCACATTATTATCATGAAACATAGGCTTATGTATTGAAAATAGCACATGCTCATCATTAACACGCAATGTAAGTTCTCCCTTTTTTACGTCAATCAACGCATCTCCCGTTGCTAAAAATGGACGCCCTAGAATCAATGGCACATCACTATCTTCCTCCACGTCTAATATAATAAAATCCACGGGAATAAAGGTATCAATCTTGACCAACACGTCCTCGACAATCCCTTTTGGATATGTAATCGAACGATCCGCCAACTTTAAGGTCATCGTAGATGGCTTCACTTCTATCAATCCGAGCTTCCTAAAAATTGACGAAGGCATGAGATTAATACTTGCACCAAGATCACATAAAGCATTGTTAATGAAAATATTTCCAATAGTGCAAGGAATCGTAAAGCTCCCGGGGTCCTTAAGCTTCGGAGGACGTGCGTTGGAGGATCGCACTACACTCTTCCGTTAAGGTCACCATCTCATGTTCCTCAATCTCCCTCTTCTTCGAAAATCGTTGAGGAAACGGTAAAGGAATAGAAAGTTTAAGAGAGCCAAAGTTAGAAGTAAATGTAATCCCAGGCCTTGACGTCGTTATCACACTTGGTTCCTTCTTTAACTCATCACAAAATTTCTCTTCACTTCGTAGATAGATGGAATGACATTGCTCTTTTGGGTTCAACTCGGTATTGCTAAGAAATTGACCCCTTAGGTGTTGGCTTCCCACTTCGTAGATAAATGTAATCCTAGTTGGCCAATTTGCATCTCCAAATTTTTCATTTGAGCCTCCATTGTCGTAGCCAATTGTGTCACATGATTCTCAATCTTTTCCAACTTCTCTTCATCTCTGTTGAAACGATTTCTCGTCTCATTCATGAAAGCTGTCAAAATATTTTCCATGTCTGTCTTCTTCTCTTCGACTATCTCACCATTCACCACCTTGAACCTCGGTGGTGGTTGGAGCACATTCTTTGTATTTCCATAGAAAAAAATTTCATGATTCCTATTATTCGGGTGATAGAAACCCGGCACCAGATTAGGGCGATAGCTGTTGAAGTTCTGAGTATTGATAAAATTAGCCTCTCCTAAAGGATCTGGTGGTAACACGTTGCCTTGTACTCCACTCATCTCATTAGCTCCTTTTGTTAAAGCATTAAATTTTGTCGTCAATGACGACATTTGAGTCGCTAACTTCTTAATTGGATCAGGAAACGTCACCTCCGCCACTCGTCTAATGTTCGACCTCTTGGAAGGCCACTGATAACTGTTCACGGCCATCTCTTCCAATAAATTGGACGCTTCCACCGGTGTCTTAGCCAATAGAGCTCTTCCAGCAGCCGCATTTACAAAGGCTCTCGTTTGGCCCAACAACCCGTTATAGAAGAAACAAAGTTGTTGATCCCCCGGAAAACCATGTCGAGGGCATCTTCTCAACAATTCTCTAAATCGATCCCACGCTTCGTATAAAGGCTCCGAGTCTTGCTGCCTAAATTGTGTAATCTCGCTTTTGAGTTGCATCGACTTGCTTGGAGGAAAATATTTAAGTAAGAACTTCTGGTTCAACTCCTCCCAAGTAGTAATGCTCCCATAAAAAATCATCGACAACCAACTCCGAGTTGTATCCCTTAAAGAAAAAGGGAATAGATGCAACCGTATGGAATCCACGGAGACACCATTGTACTTGACCAAATCACAGATTTGCAAAAACTGGGTCAAGTGTTGATTCGGATCCTCGGTCGGGTGTCCACCAAATTGGTTATTTTGAACCATCGAGATATAAACGGGCTTCAACTCAAAATTATTCACGTTGACGGGTATATGCGCAATCCCGCCAAAATTCTTATTAAATTGAGGCAGAAAGTGGTCACGAATCGCTTGTCTCGATTGTTCTTGTTGTTGTTCTTGCTCGTCCATTGTGCACTTTGAATTGTCCCTTCTTTTTCTAGTTGTTGCACTATTGCTTATAGCGAATGCTTCAACTTCGTCAATCATGGGTGGTAGTTGTACACCTTTAGACCGAGTTAACATGCACGTTCTGAAATCAAGAATAATAAAGATTATGTCTCCAAAAATATTAAAAAAAAATATCTAAATTAAAATTTTCACAATCTATCGTAATATTGATATTAATAATTATAAGGTCCCCGGCAACGACGCCAAAAACTTTCGCCTATAGTTTTAAAGCTCGACCGCAAGTGTACGGCTTCGCTCGTAGTATGTGGCAAGCAAGGTCGTATCCTAAGAGACCAAATAATTAATATATCAAGTACATGATTATGATAGTGTCAACTTTATTTAGACAATCGAATAGATGATGGATTAACTAAACTAAGAAAATATAATCGAAATATAATAAATCAAAAACAAGGAACTAGCTAGAAAAACACGTAAGAAAATATATGGGAATTATAGATTCTAAGACTATAGGTTCAATTAACAGTTGGGTTCCTTAAAAACTATCACAACCAATGTTTTCTTTATCTCCCCTATAAGATGATCACAAATTTAGCTTATCGTCCCTCTCAAGATCGATAAATCACATATATTAGCGTCTCCACTGAACATATGCAATTCAACTCCAAATAAATTAAAAGATCTAATATCCTCACAACGACTTACTAATCTCTCGATTCAAGCAAGTAAATTATGTCAAATATTAGAGACCTAATATTAAACTCATCTCTCGAATTATGAACAATATTGTCAAACATGTAAAAGCATTGATCAAGTGTTAAAAATGAAATAAGAACAAAATATTTGAATAGGGTTCAAAAGGAAAAAAAACAATTAATTATAAATAAATCATCCAAAATCACAACATATTAATCTACTACCAAGTCCTAGAATCAAATAAACTAGCCACTCATGTTTGAATTCAAATACATAAACATATTAGAAATCTACAAGATAAATAAAAGATCAAAAGAAAGAAGAAAGAAGAAAAAAAAATTAGGAATCTCGTCGATCTTTCAATCTTCTTGATCCCTTCGTAGTTGATCTTCTTTTTGCTTCCCAATTGCTTCTCTTGTGTGTTTTAGGGCTCCTCTCTTTGTTTCCCACGTTTTCCCTCTCAAAATTGGGTGAATATGCCTTTTATAATGTCCAAAATCCTTCTCCTTTTCAAAATAGGCACAAAATAAAAACCAGCCTGCGCGCGCGACATGGCCAGTCTGCCCGTGTCACTGTCCGTGTCGCAGCCCGTGTCAGGTCCCTCGGCATCGAAATCTCTTTGTTGAGGTGACACGGCCTCCGACACAGTCATAATGCCCGTGTCACTGCCCGTGTCAGCTCTACACACTCCTTTTCTTGCTTGTTTCACTTGTTTCTTCTATTTTTTTCATCCGTGCATCAATCTTTCATCATCTCGGGGTTCTTAAGTACTCACCATGCGCCTGTAATAGCCAAAAGCTCTACAAATATGTGTAAATATCTACAAAACAATCACGTGTAATACCTTTCCAACAAGAATAGAATAAAATCACAAAAATGCAATTTATACACCAATAATGCAATGAATAAGCTCTAGATACTATATAAATATGTTGTAAAATCACACATGAACAGGGATGTGTTGCAGCAGGTCCTCTCCTCCCACGGATCCTTCTGTTTTAAATAGTGCTGAATAAAAGTCCACAATGTGGTTTTTTAGATCTTCCACATTTTCACATATGTGGCCTGTTCCTGTGTCCAGACTCTGAATTAAGTTTCTCCTCCTCCTCTGGGCAGTGTATGCATGGAAGAAACGAGTATTACTGTCACCATTTTTTTGCCACAGTGCCTTTGATTTTAGTCTCCAAAAAAGTTCCTCCTCTCTGTGGGCACAATCCAGCTCATGTTTCACAGCCCCCCATTCAGTCCAATCCCTGTCTCTCATTTCTGCTCTCATAACCTCCATTTTGACTGTAAGAACTTGGATAATATTCTCATTATTTCTGTTCAAAGGCTTGTGCCATGCTAATAGAGCCATCCTTGTATTCTTTACTCTCTGGTGAACTTTGAACATCTCTGTGCCATTCACTTCTTCATGCCAGCCCTGTTCCACTGCTTCAGTTATACCATCCAGCTTCACCCAGCCCCTATCAAATAAGAATCTTTTCTGTCTATTTCTGACCTCCTCTTGAGTGTCAAATACCATGACATTGTGATCTGAGGCATTTCTGTAGAAGTTTGACACCTCCATTAGGAAATTTAATCAGCCAATCCGTGGATGTGAACACCTTATCCAATCTTTCCTCTACATACCCATCTTCCACTATGTTATATTCACATTAATACCTAATAGATTGCACATTAAATATTCACAATAGATGGAACGCACATTAATACCTAATAGATTGGACAATAGCGACCAAATTCGACTGAAGTAAAATTCAGTTTGAAATTTTATATGTCAGTTAGATTACATGTTTTTAATTTTTAAATTTCAGTCACCACAATTAGATGTCGGTTTTTTTTTAATAATGCAACTAAGAGAACAGTATAAAAAAATATTTTTTTTATGTTATATATATAGGTATTGGTTCCAATGCATCCACTTATTTAAAGTGTGGACGTAAGACTCATTCCTAGCAACAAGATTTGGTATATCATGTGTGGCCAAGATTTACTCTTTCTTTTTATTATTTTAATTATTTAAATATTATTTTGACCCGTTGACCCTGGCATTGACCGTTGACTTCCGGCGTTGACCGTTGACTTCCGGAAAAAATCGTTGACTTCCGGCGTCGACCTTTGACAACTAACCTTCCAACTAGGTTAGTTCTTTGTAGTTGTTAGGTTAGTTTTCTGTAGTTGCTAGATTAGTTCTCTGTAGTTGCTAGGTTAGTAGTTGCTAGGTTTGTTTTTTTTGACAAACAACGCCCCGGAAGGGCGGGGGATTGGGCTGGATCCCCAACCTGTGCATTGATCAGGACCCCAAAATATCAATGAACAAGATACAATAGTCTATAGAGTCTCACTAACCAAAATCAAAAACAAAAGAACCAAAAAGAAAAAGAAAACCGAAAAAACTAAAGAGAACCAGGAACTACAATACACAGTCGATCTTCGGGCTAACAGATGCCCGAAGTAAATGTCTAGACTAATGAAAGCAAAAACCTAATCTACTAAACTCGGAAAGATGGATATCCAAGCTGGTCCATCCCGAACAAGCGTGCGAAGGCGGAGTGGAGCAGTGTCAGTCTGGAATGTATGTGTGCCTGGTATGGTGGCGCCAAGGCTGGCAAGATAGTCGGCAGGTCTGTTCCCCTCACGGAAAATGTGTGTGATCCTGTGATGGACAGACCGAAATAGAGCTCTAATACGCATAAGCGGGTGCTGAATCTGCCACGAGCCCTGGTGGCCCGAGGTCAAAAGGGTGGCGACAGCCGCAGCGTCTAGCTCGATCCAGATGTGGCAAGAAAGGTGGACAACAATCTGAAGGCCGATCTGTAATGCCTGAATCTCTGCATCATAGCTCGAGGAGGCCTGAAGGGACGCATGAAAGGCGGTGGTGAGGGCGCCGCTATGGTCCCGGATCAAGCCTCCTCCTCCGACAACTTCAGTGTGGCGACCAAAGGAGCCATCAGTGTTCAGCTTGACCCACGAAGAGTCAGGTCGAAGCCAAACAACGGCTCTGGGCCGAGGGTGCCGAACAGGCAGTGGTGGGGCCACCATGTAGCGATGTGGTGGCGTGCAGCCTGTCCAGTCTCGGGCCGTGAGCCTGTTAAATGCGATGAGGAGTGAAAGTGTCTCTCTACCTGCAAAACAATGTGAGAAAATATAAAAGTAATATCCCTATGCTTCGCACTATTCCTTTTCTGTCCAGGAGAACCAAAGGATCAGACAAGGAATGAGGAAGCCCACGTGTCTAAGGTGTGTGCTCTGTGAGAAAAAACTCAGAAGCTCAAAGAAACTGTATATGGTGGGTAGGGATATATGTGTCCAGGTGGCAAAATGCTCCCACACTCTCCTCACAATCTCACTCTCTAGAAAAAGGTGGGTAAAGGTCTCGGTTTCATGGCGTCCAGTCTCATAACAACACACACACCGAGAGGGGAAGGAGATCCCCCTCATGTGTAGCACAGTATTGACGGGTATCCGGCGCAAGAGGAATCGCCAATGGAATACCGAAATAGTAGGGGTGAAAAGGTCACTCCAGATGGCCCCGAAGAGGAGATTAGGCCGATCCCTCAGCCTGATCTGCTCCCAAGCCGAGGTAGTAAAAAACACACCCGATGATGTAAGTCTCCACCTCATGCTATCTGAACCGTCCCCCGAGATAGGGATCTGCTGGATCTGATCTAATAAATTCCCGCTAAAACCCGCACCAGACCCCAACTCCCTATCAAGCTTCCCCCTATCCCACGACCCGTCCGACCAGAGGTCGCTCACAAGCAGGTAGGGGGAATGCGACACCTGCATATCCCTAGACAACGGCCTATCACCTACCCACCACTCATCCCAGAAACTAACATCGCCCTCGCCCAGAACTCAGAAAATGTGATCCTGGGCGCGCCTACCAACCCTAGTAAGGCGCCGGCACTGCCTACTATAATGATCAACAGCCGTCACCCAACAAGGGTGGTTGGCACGTCTAGGGCAGTACTTGCCGCGAAGGTAGTGAGCCCAAAGCGACTTTCCTTCCTTGAAGCGCCACCACAGCTTGTAAGAGAAAGCTGTAACAATGTCCCTTAGGCGGCGGATGCCAAGTCCACCCTCGGGGAGGGGGCGAAAAATGGAGTCCCAACTCACCCAGTGGGTACGTCTCCCCCTCTCAGAACCGTCCTCGTAACCCCAGAAATAACGAGCCATAATCTGGTCTATCTCGTCAAGAGTAGACCTAGGGGGGTCGAGGACCATAAGTAAGTGAATCGGAAGAGAGCTAAGAGTGCTCTTGATCAGCGCAAGCCGACCACCGAAAGAAAGATGTCTATGCGACCAACCAGAGATCCTGTCGATCATCCTCTGCCTGACGCCCGCAAAGAATGCTCTCGTGAGGTTGCCCTTATATAAATGGACGCCAAGGTAGGTAATTGGGAGGTCGCCACGCGCAAAGCCAGTAATGTCGTGGACCCGCTAAGCCCACCTGGCCACGCTGGAAGAGGAGAGGGTGAATGTGCTCTTCTGCACACTGACCAGCTGACCGGTAACCGAGCCATAGTGCTCCAAAAGGCGCATGAGCTCGACCAGTCCATCATCATCCGCCCGGGTGAAGATGATGATGTCATCCGCGTAAGAGAGGTGAGAGATGGGAGGACCATAGCCACGGGTGCTATACGTCATATGAGAAAAGTCGCGGATGAAACCGTCAAGGCAGCGAGAGAGGTAGTCCGCCGCAAGGACGAAAAGGGAGGGGGACAAGGGGTCGCCCTGTCTAAGGCCTCTAGAAGAGGGAAAGAAATCGGTGGGGCTACCATTGACCAGGACCGAGAACGTGCAGTGCTCCACGCACGCCTCGACAAAACTGATCCAACTGTCAGGAAATCCCATCCTAGCCAGGGCCTCCCTAAGAAACGGCCACTCTACCCTATCATACGCATTAGCCATATCTAGCTTCAGCGCGATATTTGGAGCCCGCTTCCAATCCGCACGGGAGATGTCGTGGATCATCTCCTGGGCCAAAAGGATGTTATCACTAATGACCCGATCCTTGACGAATCCACTCTGGTTCGGAGAGATGAAGGAGGGGAGAAGAGGGGAAAGACGGTCGTTAAGGATCTTCGAAATGAGCTTGTTGGTCACGTTACATAGGCTGATGGGCCTGTAATCGGACCAAGAGCTCGGGTTGGGTCTTTTGGGGATGAAGATGACAGAGGTAGACGTGAAGGAATCCGGCATTCGATGGCCGGAGAAAAAATCCAATATCGCCTCCTCGACATCAGTCTCGACTAGATCCCAGCAGACTTGATAAAAGAGGGAGGAGAATCCATCCTGGCCAGAAATGCTGTTGGGATCAATCCCGAATACAGCATCCCTAACCTCCTCCCTACTCGGGAGCTCACAGAGGCCAATGAGATTGACCGAAGGAGGGATGGTGGGGAAAAGAGAAGAGTTCGGGGCCACAAGGGACCCTCTGTCAGAGGTGAAGAGGGTCTAGAAGTGAGCAACAGCCGACTCCTGAATCTGAGCCTCCTGGGTCAAGGATGACCCATCAGCCTCGATACTATGGATATACGACTTACCACGCTTCTGGCTAACGTAGCCCTGAAAGAACCTAGTATTCCGCCCGCCCTCGGCCACCCAGCGAACGGCCGCCTTCTGCTTCCAGAAGTCCTCCTCCATAAGGAGTCGGAGCTGGTACTCGGCGTGGCAGCGGTGTTGGGTTCACTAGTACCGTACGGGCTGTACGCAGCGGAATTTAAAATTTTAAAAATAAGTATTTATCGTATAAATACAACACCCGTACATACTAATTGCGAATTAACTGATCGTCATCTTTAAAACATGCATCATATACAAATTTTGATTTGTTACTATAAAATAAATACTAGTAAAAATATTTACCGAGTGTCTTGAACTCCTTCAACTATGATGTGGATTGTGGGAATCGGTTCCCGGTTGTAACTTCAACGGCTTGAGGTTACTCGCTTTAGGAATCCAAGTGTCTTCCCTCTAAACGTATCCACCCTATGAAGCCCGGTTCCGACGACTTTCCTTCGCTAGTAGAAAAGACTTCGTTTTCTTGTATAGGAATATTTATGAATTTTTATTTGGGAATTTTCAAGAACTCTTTCTTGAATTATATGAAGAACACTTTCTTCTCTCTTTCTAACACTTAGAAATTTTAGGATCAAAACTTCTCTAAATGCAAAACCATTTTGCACATATTTATACTAAACATTTTAGCATAAAATAATCAACATTTAGTAATATTTAAATAAAATCAAATTTTATTTAAATAGTATTTACTAACTTTTGACTTTGAAAATAATAAGATATGTTAAGTAGTTCAAACAACCATCAACAACCATTTTATTATAATCATATTTATTATCTTAATCCTTAAATCATATTTAAAGATATAAATAATAATTGAATAATAAATCTTGAGAATCTTTCTCAAGACTTTATTATTATATGATTTTCCCAATATTATAATAATAATCATATTATTATTATTTTGGATTTTGAAATTTAAAATCCTATTTTAAAATTCAACTTTATTAATTTAGTAATTACCTTAATTACTAAAGTAATATCCAAAATTGTAATTAATCAATCTTATTGATTAATATATATTCCTTTAATTGATATCTAATCAAATTAGATATTTATCAATTAATTCTAACCATTAGAAATACAATCTTTACCTTTGTTCATAATAGGTGTGACCTTTTAGGTTCACCTTAATACTAGTAGTGGGTTTACAACACTTTGTAATTTGAGTTAAATCTAATTAACTCTTATTCTTGAATTAACTCTTTAATTCTAGAACCCACATATCATGGTAACACCTAGCAAGCAGCATGAATCTAGTATTAAGTGAATAGCGAGTAAACCTATTTCAATTACAAGTGCATACATGTAAAATCCTTTCGACATCTAATTTCCCGATTAAGTGGGTATGATTTTAGTCGAAACCCAAATTGACTTAATAACTATGATTCTATTTCAAAGTGTATTAACCCGATTATGAATCACTATTCATCTCTGCCTTGGCCAAGGACTTTGGATTAATAACTATGAAATACATAGGAAATTCACTTATCTTCATAAGTGTCGAATCCTTTATTGGCCACTAACAAAATTCCATACATATTAACATAATACCCAAAATATCCCTTTATACGATAGTGCTAGCTACCAAAAGGATAAATCAAAGTAGAATGTAATATGCACAAAGTTACCATTGTGCCTCAAGTCTTAGGATTAGTCATGTACTATTGTAACATGAAAATTCTTATTCGACAGATTATTAACTAAAATAATTCTTCATTAAGAATTTTCATACGGTCATGTCCAGTGAACTTATTCTCTAACAAGCACCCACATAAATGTATTTGCGTCTCACGCTAATGTTGATGGAATGCAACATTCTTGTCCAACAAGCGTACAAACTATGTGCAAGTCTTTTATGGATTATTCGATATCCCATCTCGAAACATCCATCGACTTGGAACTGTATTTAAGATCACGGCTTTCAAGGTATGTTCCATGATCACCATCTCTATGCGCAACCATACCTTATAACCATAAGTGATCTAGGGATTTTATCTTAAGTGTATTTATAAGATAAATGCTTTCTCTTAAGATAAAGAAATGCCTTATTAATAATATAATTCCAATAGACTGTATTTACAAGTAGAATACGTCCAATCATATTGGAACGCCGGGTACCCTACTCTAACAAGCGGTGCATGGCAGTCCTATTCTCCGGAGTGGGGTCCAGGTCATAGGCCCGCTCAGCCGTCGCGTGCGCACTCTGAGCCGTAGCAAGGCGCTGATGAAGGTTTCCAAAAACATCCCAGTTCCACTGTCTCAACCGACGCCGCAGTCTGCCGAGCTTCACCTCGAGATTGCGCATCCCGAAGAGCCCAGTCGGCTGAAGCCAGGAATCCCTGACAGTGTCGTGGATAGAGTGGTGGCGAACCCACATGTTCTGGAACCTAAATGAAGAGCGGCGGGGGTGCTCGAAAATTGGCACCGGATGAGAAGGGGTGAATGGTCAGACCCAAATCGAGTAAGGTGTGTGACGGTCGTAACCGCAAACACCTTCGCCCACGCCTCAGAAACCAAGGCACGGTCTAACCTCTCTTTGAGTCCGTCCCTCACCCATGTGAAGAGCTCACCATCACATCCAGCGTCAATTAACTCACAGTCCGCCACCGCCTGAGCAAAATCCCACATCTCCCGTGACCGGTCCGAACGGCTACCCATGCGCTCATCGGGATACAGAAAGATGTTGAAATCGCCACTAACCATCCATGGCAATCCCTCCATACTCTCGGCAATCTCATGCAGAGTGTCCCAAAGATCATAGCGCCCGACCCTAGTACACTTGCCATAAACCAAGGTGTGAAAGATTGGCTCCGGGTGGTGGACAGCGGAAAGCTCAACGTGCAGCACTTGATCGGTGTCACAGAGGACCCGACAAGTGTAATCACGCGAGTGAAAGAACCAGATCTTATGCGAAATATTACCCACGCCCGAGTGAAAGCCAAGGCGACGCGAGTAGTAGTCAAAAGAAGGGGTGCGAATCATCGGCTAAATAAGACCAACAAAATCGAGTCTGTGGTCACGAATGAGAGAATAGAGGTGAGAGAGAGTAGCCCTGTTCGCCAGGCCACGGCCATTCCAAGTAATGGATGTGATAGACATGTCAGCAGTCGCAAGAGCCACCGGACATAGTTCGCCTGTGGCAAGGCTGGGTCGGGCCACCTAAAGAGTGAATGTGGCTGAAGGATCCAATAGCAGGGGAGACAGTCCGTCGCGTCGTGCGCCGCGTGGCTCTGGTCCTCGTAGACTGCCTGCCTCGGTAGGTGCTCGTGGCCTGCATGTCGTCTGGCAGGGCAGTCTGACCAAGAGCGGCACAAGCGGGTTGCCCCATCTCTGGGGTTGTCTACTCTGTCATAGTGCACGAAGGCACTAGATGCGAAGCTCTAGCACGAGACGTCATGCTGGGCGCGGTTAAGACCGCATGCCTGCTTGGGGATATGAGAAAGAGAGGATCCAGCCGGCGGAGTAGTCCTGTGCTCGCCGCCAGGGGGAGGTTAGTAGTTGCTAGGTTAGTTCTTTGTAGTTGTTAGGTTAATTCCCTGTAGTTGCTAGGTTAGTCTCTGTAGTTGCTAGGTTAGTAGTTGCTAGGTTAGTTCTATGTAGTTGCTAAGTTAGTTCTCTGTAGTTGCTAGGTTAGTTGTATGTAGTTGCTAAGATAGTTCTCTGTAGTTGCTAGGTTAGTTCTCTGTAGTTGCTAGGTTAGTTCTTTATAGTTGCTAAGTTAGTTCTCTGTAGTTGCTAGTTTAGTTCTCTGTAATTGCTAGGTTAGTTCTCTGTAGTTGCTAGGTTAGTTCTTTATAGTTGCTAAGTTAGTTCTCTGTAGTTGCTAAATTAGTAGTTGCTAGGTTAGTTCTCTGTAATTGCTAAGTTAGTAGTTGCTAGGTTATAGTTGCTAAGTTAGTTCTCTGTAGGTGCTAAGTTAGTAGTTGCTAGGTTAGTTTTTTGTAGTTGCTTGGTTAGTAGTAGCTAGGTTACTTATCTGTAGTTGCAAGGTTAGTTCTCTGTAGTTGCTAGGTTAGTTATCTGTAGTTGCTAAGAGCTGGGNATAAATTGATTATTTTGATTAATGGATAGTCCGCTTTGGTATAAATTGTTAAACATGACAATAATATGAATGCACAATAGTTTTATGATTTGCACAAAACCGTTTATAAGACTGCACAGATATTTGAAAAACATTAAATGATATAAAATATTAAATAAACTATTGTCTATTATATGTATTATTTGTGTCAACAAACAATTATATAAAATGTTAAATAGTAGATTATGTATAATAAATATAATTTTATTACATACATAATTTATTTTTACTATGCAATTTCTATTTTTGTATGTGTTTTGCTATACACATATATTAAATAGTAAATAAATTATTAAATATAATAATATAAAATGTAAAAATAATACAAAATAATTTATAATAATACAAAAATTATATAATAATAATAATAACTAATAAAATATTTAATTATTTGATTAATTATTTGTACGATTATATTAATTAAAAAAATAGTTTTCGAAAAACATAATATGTGATCTTATAAATTATTTCACTTTATAGAAAATCAACGTTGCACTTTATAAAGCAATATGTTGCACTTTATAAAACAACACGTTGCACTTTATAAAAACAACAAGCTACATTTAACATTAATAATTCCTCACGTTGCACTTTATAAAAACACCAAGCTACATTTAACATTAATAATTCTCGCCAAAATAGAACACAACATAAATCTAAAAAACGGATCAACATAATATTTTATCATACATCACATAAAAAATAAAAATAAAAAAAAAATAAACGCAAGAATGTTAACATACCAAACTTACTGTAGTTTTACTTTATACATAGTCACGTTGCATTTTATGAAACAACGCGTTCCACTTTATAAAACATCACATTACACTTTATAATGATAATTAACAATTAAACATCGATGATTTCCGCCAAAATAACACGCCATATGAATCTAAAAAACATATCTACATAATATCAGTAGTTCGATTCGGTAACGACTCTATTTTGTTGTGTATTTAAAAAGTACATTTTAATTGTCTTAATTAAATGTTTGATTGATTGCACATTAATATTATACAGATTGCACATTAATGATTTCCAAATTCCACTATATCGAATGAACCCGACCGAACTAAATTTTTTGTTCGAGCTTTACATGTCAACTCAATTATCTGTTTTTACCTTTCAAATTTTAGTTTATTTCAGTTCAATGTCAACTTTAATTTAAAATAACATAAATAATTGGACCGACCAAACTATATAATAATATTTTATTTTTTTGTATGTTTTTATATGAAAATATTATTTTTTTCAACAAAAAAATAAAATGTTAGATAAGAAATATTAGACTACTTGGCTACTTCGATTAACCGATCAAATTAACTAATTAATTCGGTCCGATTTTAAATTAGGTTGGAATACAAGTTTGTTCGGTTCAGACTGCACTATAGTGACCGAAACCGTGCACAATAATGTTAGACACATTGCACGTTAATGTATGTCAAAGCACATTATTTTGTATTTTATTTATTATTGTGGTGCATATATTAAACTTTTGATAAATTATGGATTTGCCACAAGTACTAAATCATAATATATTAAAAGTTACAAAATTGCATATAGGTCCCCATAACTTGTCAAATTTTTAAATGAAAGTCCCCAAACCAAAACAAAAAAAATCTCCAGCCCCAGCCCGCCGCGGGCGACCCCGATTCCGTCCGCCGCAGTCTCGCGGGCCCTCCGTCGTCGCCACATCCACGACCGCGCCATCACTTCACCCCTGAGCCTTCTTCTGCCACAGAGTTTCAGGGATTTCAGGGAATATTTAAATTCCGCAACGAGCTCAGACAGTGGTGGCCCGGCTACCACAGAGGATGACAGTAAACGGGATGACAACGGAGATAGCCCTATTGGACATCTTGACACGGGGGTCGACAGCGACTGAGATGGTCCGAGCTTCGGTGGGTGCTCTGCTGTGGAACGCAGGCGTCTAGAGAGAAGGCAATGCTACGGCGGCTGGCTGACGGCGAGCGAGGGGAGTGCGAGGCCGACGCTGGGAGATAAGGTAGATAGGATGCCAGAATTTGTGGCGGACGTGGGTCGTCTGTGCAAGGGAAAATGGAGAACTGGCGAGAGAGAGAGAGAGAGAGAGAGAGAGAGAGAGAGAGAGATGGCGGCGATAGAAGGCGGCGTCAGGCAGGCTGTGGACGGCGGCTGTTGGTGGCTCCGGCGGGCACGCATAAGGTGGAAGAAAAAATTTCAGATACATTTAGTGTGTGTGTAACTGGTGGGGCCTACTGAATTTTTATTTGGTAAAATTACATTACTGTCCTCCAATGTGTTTATTTGCCCGTGAGATATTAATATAATTACCATCTTGCCACTGCAGGTTTGACCATTATAATTTAATTTTGACTTCATCATGTTCATTGATATAATTGATCCAATGGTCTATGATCATTCTTATTTCTTTCACTATCTACCATTCTCATATGATCTCTTCTCTAATTATCTATTCATTTGTTACAACCACTAGAATGATTATTGAAATTATGCATTCTACTTATAATAAATCAGTTAAACAAATGCCTATGGAATAAAATACGGATGGTTGTAGGTAATGAAATACAAAATGAGCCAGTAATGAGATAGAAAGACATGTGGTGCGTATATAATAAAAGTATAAAACACGCATGAACTCTAAAAGGTTACATCTGTTAAAAGGCAAAAATTTATGTTTACCGTATGATTTTAAAATAATTGTAATCCTTGGATGTTAGTTGAATTTTTTATTTAAATTATAAAAAAATATAAATGGTAAGTTTATATACCCTACAAATTAGGATGTTTGTTCTATATAAAACAAGAAGATACTGGATTTAAAATTGAAACGATATTTATTTTGTCAATTATTTTGTACAGTGTATTGATTTTTTTTGTATAGTAATCCTATATGTTCTGTATACATACTAGATTACAAATTTATTTTTTTGCTCAACCAAAAAATCAGTTTTTTTATAGTAACCCATAACTATGTATACAAATCATACATATACACAATGTAACCTGAAAATATACTATTTATATACTTTTCATACACAACATACACAACAAAATATACACATCTATAAACTGAAAATATATTGTCTATATACAACATATATTGCCGACACCTTCATGAGCTCGAGCTTCGGGCCCCGCCTTCGTCATCTCCATCTTGACCACCCCGCTGGGAAGGAGGAGGGGATGGAAGGGCAGTCGCTGGAGTCCATCGTTTTCTTTTATAAAAGCAATCGCATGGATTGAAAAAAGTGGCTCATAGTTTCACTGTCGTTGTAGACGAACAAGCCTCCCGTAGAAAGATCGCACGACGGCCAGTCAGATGTTTGGAACATATCTAGTTAGGCACAAAAAAAAAGGAAACTTCCATGAGCTAAAAAAAGAAAAGAAAAAAACTTCCATGAACAATAACTTGGATACCATATGAGAACTCGATCTTCGATTTCGTGGGCGGTTAATGAGGTGGGAAAGAAATCTCTTACCATATGCCTCGAGGGTGATTTTTTGGTAACTCATAGTTTCTTAAATTAATAAATATATTATTCCTTAACTGGGTGGATAAGTTTTATGATATATCTGCATATAAACAAGTGAAGCCTTTTGTCAATAAACAAGATCCATGAAAGAATGTAAGGTATCCGGCCCAAAAGTGAATGGAATTAAGTTTGCTAAAATACATTTTATCATAGATTCCATTTTTTTTTTTAAATAGTAATAAAATCACATCTAAAATGATATTTTTTATTTGAAAATTACAACTTTTTTCTTACATATATTTATGTTTATTTTATTTTCTGTTAATCTTAAGTTTATTACATTATCTTTGCAATGATTGAAAATTTTGTTGAATTTATCGACCAAATAAAAAATCTAACGGCAAAGTCAGAGAAAAAAAATATTAAATGAATGAAGTCGTTTGAGAAAATATCAAATCATTCCAACCTCATTTCCAATAGAAGTTATAGAAATGATGAATGTTTCTTCTCTCTCTAGAGATGCCGTTCTACTTGTTGGATAGTTTTCTAGGGTTTTCATCTTTTAGTTCTTCCATCGATCACCTTATTTTCTCAGCTAATCGTTTGATTTAGGATCACCTTTCTAGATCTTCTAGTCCTCTTCTATCCTCAGCCGATCTTCCTCTAGTGTCATTTGTTTCGTCTCTTTCTTTTCTTTTGTCCCCTTCATCTCGCTTCCTAATTTTCATTCAATTTTATCTGTCAAACCGGGGCAGTTCTGGGTTCGTATTATTGGGGTAGTAGTTCCAAGTAGGGATTCATCAATGGCGCAAGAAATCTCAGACAGAATGCTCAAAATCAAGCTATCGGAAAAGGAGATTGATGAAGTGGAACTATCGGACACCGACATAGCATTGGGTCTTAGAGATTGTCGATTAAGCCTCATCGGGAAGAGCTTTGGGGAAAATAGAATCAACTTCAATGGGTTGAAGGCAACATTATCGAGCATCTGGGCTACCAAAGATCCCTTTTCGGTCAGAAATCTTGGAGGTAACAAGTTCCAATTTTTATTTCAATCAGAGGAAGACAAGGAAAAAATTCTGTTGGGGAAAACATGGTCATTTGATGGCCAATATATTCTGTTACAAAATTGGGACCCGAATAACTTTGGATTTTGCGAAAGAGGAGAAGGTAATCAAGATTTGGGTTCAACTTATCAACCTCCCACTGCATTGGATATCAGCTGAAACAGGGATTAAAATTGGGAAAAAGGTGGGAAAGGTAATGGAAGTGTTACTTCCAAGTCCTGGTAATTCTAGCGGTCAGATTATGAAATTTCTTGTGGAACTAAAGCTAGCAGAGCCTATACCCAGAGGAACCAACATCAAGCAGGGAAATGAGAATCGTTGGCTAGACTTCAGGTATGAGAATATCCAAGGCTTTTTCTACTACTATGGTAAGATTGGGCACTCCGATAGGAGTTGCTCAATTAAACAAAAAGATGTTGTTAATAATGTGCTCAACCTGGGGCAATTTTGAGAGTGGTTAAGGGCTAGTAATGTCCTTTTGTCTGGGTTTAGAAGCTTCTCTAGTAACCAGTCTGATAGTAATAAAGATGATCTTGGGCTTAGCAGGTCTCACAAACCTAGTTTAGAGAAAAGTGTGGTTGGAGAGAAATCATCTAGAAAGGAGGGGGATGTGGAAAAAAACTCAACTTCCCCCTCAGAACAACTTCATGTGGGGACTGAGGTGGGGGAAAGTGAGAACATCATTCCAATTGACATCTCCAATGAGGTTTTGCCTCAAGAAGAGTTGAACAAGGTTGATACTAATCCTACCTTTTCTCAGTTGATTGAAGTTCCTATCCAACCTTCCAGTAGTTATAATATAGTAATGAATAGGAAAAGGAAATCTTTCGCCAGAAAGCCTAAATCAGGTAATCTGGTAATCTCAGAAGCCATGGCTGTTGATTCTGAAAATCCTTTAGTGGAGACCTATATTTCTAGGAAAAGAAGAGGTTCAGAGGGTATGGATAGCAATGTGTCTTTGAATCAAATAGGGTCAGATAGCAAAAAAACTCAAGTTTTTTGGTAACTCCAAGTCTGACACTCTTCGTTTGAATAAGGTGGGGGAGACCAGCCATAATTGGTCCCCAAGTCTCAATGAAGGTTATGGTGTGAAATTGTTAGAGGTTTGGGAGGACCCTCTACAATTTCCCAATTGCGAAAAGCTCTCAGAACTCATCTCCCTGATTTTGCTTGTCTTTTAGACACTAAGAAAAACCAAAATTTGTTTCCACTGTTTGTAAAAAGCTTAAATTAGATAATAGATGGTATTATGAGAGCCCTATAGGTTCTAGAGGGGGTATGCTAGTGGTTTACTCCAGGAATGTCACCATTTTGCAAATTGTTAGTCTAGACTTTTGTATCCAAATCCAATTCTATCTTCATGAAAATTGTCCTAATTTCTGGGTGGTTTTTATTTATGCTAGTACTGATTCTTCAGTAAGGCTTGCTCAGTGGGGTACCTTACTAAGGTACAGTATCAGCTGGGGTGATTTTTGGTGTGTAGGGGGTAACTTCGATGATATTCTCTCAAATGATGAGAAGAATGGTGGTTTAGTGAGAGAGGAGGGTAGTTTTGATAATTTTAAATCTTTTATCAGGGGTTTAGGAGCTATTGATACTAAGGTGGTTGGGCATCCATTCACCTGGTCTAACAATAGAAGGGGAAGTGCTTTTATTGATGAAAGGTTAGATAGGTTTCTCACCTCTCCTGCTTGGTCTTTGAATTTTCCTAATTGTTAGGTTGAGCACATTAATAACATTGCATCTGACCACAGTATGCTCATCTTGAATAATCTTGGCACTTCTGAGTCTAGGAAAAGAAGATTTTTGTTTGATAAAAGATGGGTGAAATTGTCTGGATTCATTGATGTGGTAAAGACAGCATGGGATCAACCAGTCATTGGCCATAACCTGGTCAGCATTCAAGACAGAATAATAAATGTCAGGAAAGCCCTCCTAGGATGGAAAGCTACTTTGAGAACCAACTCTTCTGTTGAGATTGAGAGATGCAAGGAAAATCTGAAACTTTTACAATTTCAAGGGGGCAGCAGGGACTGGACACAATGGCACAATCTGAAATCCAATCTTACTTTGGCATATAAAAATGAAGAGCTTTTTTGGAGCCAAAAAGCAAGGGTACAATGGCTAAGTGAGGGAGATCGAAATTCAAAATTTTTCCAGGCTGTTGTAAAGGACAGAAGGAGACTCAACTCATTGGATAATCTTTTCAGATCGGATGGCTCTAGATGCTCATCCAAGTAGGACACTCTGAATGAATTGATGTCATTTTTTGGGAATCTGTTCCAATCATCTAATCCTCAAGAGGAAAACAGCAGCCTTTCTGGGATCCCTTCTTCTATCACAGCTGAGATGAACTTGGATTTGATTAAGGAGGTGTCTGTGGAAGAAATCAAATCTGCTCTCATGAGTATGGATCAGAACAGTGCCCCTGGTATTGATGGTCTCACTGCTGGCTTTTTTCAATCTTCTTGGTCTACCATTCAGCATCATCTTATTCTTGCTATCCATAATTTTTTCTCTTCTGGGCAAATGCCCAAAGGTCTTAATCATTATGTGATCTCTCTTATTCCCAAAAAAATAAATCCCACTTCCATTTCTGACTTTAGACCTATAAGTATTTGCAATGTGATTTATAAACTCATCTCTAAAATCATTGCTAATAGACTTAAAGGGGGATTGTCTTTTGGCATTTCAGCCTCCCAATCTGCTTTTGTTCCGGGGAGGCAAATTTTGGACAATGTCACTTCATGGCTATTAAGTTAGATATGGCCAAAGCCTTTGACAGGGTCCAATGGTCTTTTGTTGTTAGGATTCTTAGGAAGATGGTGTTTTGTTGTACATTCATTTCTTGGATCTGTGCTTGTATGTGTTCTTCTGCCTTTTCTTTTAATGTTAATGGTGAGTGCTTAGGCTATTTGAAACCTTCCAGAGGATTGAGACAGGGAGACCCTTTGTCTCCCTATCTCTTCATTATTGTATCTGAAGCCTTTTCAAACCTCATTAGCCAAGCCAGATTATTTTCTAATTTTAGACGTATCAAAATAGGGAAATATGCCCCTTGTGTTTCGCATTTATTTTTTGCTGATAATACCATTTTATTTTGCAAAGCTAACTTGGCTCATGCTCATTTAATTCTCAAGATTCTTTCTGCTTATGGTTTGGACTCTGGTCAAATGGTTAATATTGGAAAATCCTCCATTTTTTTCTCTAAGAACTCTTCTGAAAACACTATAAATGCTATCCACAATGTGTTTCCTGGCATCTCTAGAGTCTCTTCTTCTAAATAGAAGAGAGATTTTTGCTTTTGTGAGTGAGTGTGTTAGTAATAGTCTTAATAGTTGGAAAAACCAATATTTGAGTGAAGCAGGGAGAGAAGTTCTTATCAAATCAGTGTTTTCTGCTCTTCCTACTTATGTATTTTCTTGTTTTAGAGTGCCAGTGGCTGTTATTGATAAAATTTGCAGAGACATTGGGAATTTTTGGTGGGGATTTTCTAATTCTGGTGATAAGAGAGTTCATTGGGCTAGTTGGAATAGATTAGTGCAAGATAAGGAGGTTGGGGGGCTGGGATTCAAAGATCTTAGAGCCTTCAACGAAGCTTTACTAGTTAAACAATTGTGGAGGCTTATTTCTAAACCCAATCTTCTAGTCAGCAGGATTCTTAAGGGTAGATATTTTAGGAATCAAAAATTGGGAGAGATTCAAGCTAAGCAAGGGGATTCTTAGTTATGGAGAAGTTGGCTAGGGGCTAGGAAGTCTTTGGACTTGGGTACTAGATTCCAAGTGGGTGATGGGAATAACATTAATATCTGGGAGGATCCTTGGATCCCCAATAACTCTTCTTTCAAACCTCACTGTCAGTTTCCCATTTATAAACTGAGACTCTCCAAAGTTAAAGACCTAATTTGTCAAGCCACAAACTCCTGGGATTCTGAGCTCGTTTACCAAACTTTCAACCCTCTTGATGCTTCTTTAATTTTAAATATCCCTTTGAACCTCCAGGGTAATAGAGATAGGCTTATATGGCACTGGGATAGGAAAGGCTTATTTTCAGTTAAAGCATCCTATAAGTTAGTGCTGGCTAAAATACACTCTCAGAGTGAACCAGGGCCTAGCTCTTATCCTAAATCTCTATGCAGGATGTGGAAAACTTCTTGGAATTTGCAGGTGAAGCCCAAAGTGAAAACCTTTATATGGAGGTGTTGGCACAATTTTGTGGGGGTCAAAGATGAACTGATTAGGAGAGGTATGCAGCTGGATAGAAAGTGTGATGTTTGTGGAGTTGAAGATGAAGATCTGAAGCACATTCATTTTCATTGTCCAAGAGCACAAAACTGCTGGAAACTAGCAGGCCTTGATTGGAGTGCTTTACTGGATAGAGATTCTAAATTTCAATCTTCGTGGTTTGATCTTAGCAGAATTAAAGAAGACTAGAGGAAGTCTGACAGACTGTGCCTTTCTGCAACTCTGATTTGGAACCTCTGGAAAACAAGAAATGTCTGGATATGGAACAAGGAATGGTGGTTGGACAAAGAAATTGTGAAAAAAGCTTATTTTGAATGGATGGAGTTTGCTAATAGGGATGAGTTGGAAGTGCAACCTGTTACTAGTTTATCTCAATCAAATCATTCTTCTAATAAGCATTTTTCCAGGAAGGTAGGACAAATGAGCTTATTTGTCAGTGCCTTAAGCTCTTTGGGAGGATGTGCTGAATTTCATTGCAGGTGTGTACTTGATAACAGAGAGGTGCAGAGCTGGTCAAAAGTGTCAATGGTAGACAGAAATGAAGAGGAAGTTCTGGCTTTAGCTGTGAAATGGAGCCTTCAGATTGCTGTTGATAATAATTGGAGCAATTTCACTTGCTATTTGCAGGATGAACAGCTAGTGGCCAAGCTAAATGGATGGAATGCTAATCAGGGTTCCACCTCTTCTTCTACTATATTGGATGAAGTCCGTACATTTGCTCAAAATCCACTCTGTTGTGTATTTGCTCTGAATAGTGAATCTTTGTAATTCTGTTCCTTTTCTTTTTTTTTTCGGTCTAGGGAATACTTGCTATGCCCCTTTGGGTACTGTCCTTTTGGAGGTTGCAGGTTGGTACTCGGTTCAGTCATTTGATTGATCGTATGTAAAAACGTTGCTTTGAGTTTATATATTGCTTTGTTATCGTGTTGAAAAAAAAAAAACATATAACAAAAAAATTGAAAATAAAAATAAATTAAGCATCATTCTCCATCAATCACAAATTCAATTTTTTTACCAGACCATAAAGAAGCATAAAGATAACAAAAAAACTGAAAGATTATTCTATACAAAAAAAAAGGTAAGTTTATATACCCTCAAATTAGGATGTTTGTCCAATATAAAACAGGAAGATATTGGATTGAAGAGTGTTCAATAAAATTGGGGGAAAGGATGGAGGTTTTTTGTAGAGAGAGATGTGACCGTGGGCGGTGGGGTGGTTTTGCAGAGAGAGAGAGAGAGGATATTGGTTCGATTTTTTTGGTAAGTATATATTTAATCTCAATTAATGATCTCAATTCTATTTAATTTGCCCGAAATTACTTAATAACATTTACATTTTCCGCAGTCTCCATCTCTGGTATAATTGTAATATTTTGACTTGGTTTAGTAATTTTATAAATAAGAATATAATGTGTGTCTAAGTGTAATATAAATCCTATCTGATAGTAAGAGGTGCAAATTCCTCCTTTTTNNNNTTTGATTATTGTATATTAATTGACATTTTCTGGATTATATTGTAGTTTATATCATATTCTTTTACATATGCTAATACGTAGCAGATTTTTTTTTGTTATCTATCTCCTTGTGCTTTTTAAATATTTGGATATGTTATTTTTATTTTTGTACATTGACGGTTATTGATTATTTTTTAATGATTAGGTTTTTCTAGGTTTGGTAGTAGTTTACATAAGGCTTTTTTCAGCAGCAATCTGATTTCCCCAAAATTGGTGACAAGTAATTGTTCACTATTTCATATAGTATATTTGTGAATTTACATTCAAACTTTTGTCATATCAAAATGCATCGACCTCCATCCCAACTTTTTAAATTCAAAACAATAGACGACAAGAAAAAGTAAAATCAAAGCATTATATGATGACTTAAATAGGAAAATGAATACAGAAAAAATAGGAAAATGAGTACAGAAACTCGCAGACATATTATAACCTTAGATGTCGAAAGAACTGGTTTTGATAGTGGCCAATCCAGGAAAAAAAGTCCTGACAGTTGACAGGCACAACCAGACTTGCTAGATCCATTTCGCTCTAGTATTTTATCAGGCCTAATTAAAAACTGAAAAAGCAAAACAAAGATACTGAATACAATTGCAGATAAAGGTCCATGATATCATTACTGGTTCATGTACTTCCATGTTCTCTGTACCTAATTCAGTACTTGATACTATATTTCACCCACTGCCAGGGTTGTGATCAAACGGCTTTGGATTCCCAAACTATGTTATCTTTGAGGTAGCATAATCCCAAGCACTTAATTTATTA